GGAGGCTGAGGCAGGAGAATTGCCTGAGCCTCCTGAGTAGCTGGGATTACAGGCACGCGCCACCATGCCCAGCTAATTTATGTATTTTTAGTAGAGACGGGGTTTCACCATGTTGACCAGGATGGTCTCGATCTCTTGACCTCGTGATCCACCTGCCTCGGCCTCCCGAAGTGCTGGGATTACAGGCGTGAGCCACCGCGCCCGGCCAGGAACATGAATTTAAATGAAATATGTGAAACGTATAGCGTGGTGGTTCAGTGTTACTGGGTGTTCTGGGCTTCTTCTGTTTTCTACTCAATCCATCCCTCAAGTTCCAGTTTTTAGCCACTTCCTTTCTTTTTTATCCTGCTACCAGAGTTGTCTTCCCTAAGTACGCTGCTTTTTTTTTTTTTTTTTTTTTTTAAGATGGAATCTTGCTCTGTTGCCAGGCTGGAGTGCAGTGGCATAATCTTGGCTCACCGCAACCTCCACCTCCCGGGTTCAAGTGATTCTCCTGCCTTAGCCTCCTGAGTAGCTGGGACTATAGGCACCTGCCACCACACCCAGCTAATTTTTGTATTTTCAGTAGAGATGGGGTTTCACCATGTTGGCCAGGATGGTCTCGATTTCTTGACCTTGTGATCCGCCCACCTCGGCCTCCCCAAAGTTCTGGGATTACAGGCATGAGCCACTGCACCCAGCACCTAAGTGCACTGATTTTTAAACATGTTCAGTGTTTCTCCATTGCCTGCAGTGTAGCCCAACCTCCTTACAGGGAGTCCAGGCTCACAATCTAGTCCCATCTTTGCCGTCCAATCTTTTAACCCTTTACAGCCTCAACTCTCACAAACCTCCCTTGCTTTTTTTTTTTTTTTTTCCCCCTTTTAGGCAGAGTTTCATTCTGTCACCCGGGCGGGAGTGCAGTGGTATGATCTCGGCTCACTGCAACTTCTGCCTCTACTGTTCAAGTGATTCTCTTGCCTCAGCCTCCCAAATAGCTGGGATTACAGGCACGTGGCACCATGCCTGGCTAATTTTTGTGTTTTTAATAGAGACAGGGTTTCACCATCTTGGCCAGGCTAGTCTCAAACTCCTGACCTCAGGTTAGCCACCTGCCTTAGCCTCCCAAAGTACTGGGATTACAGGGGTGAGCCACTGCATCTGGCCCTTTCTTGTTTTTTATGTCCTAGCTACATTAGACCACTAGATGTTGTTCACAATCCTATTTTGACGTTTTTGTAGTTTTTGAATCAAAGTGCCCTTTTTTCCTTTCTCGTTTATCCCTTGATTGTTTAAAACAGTGAGTCAAAAATTTATTAATGTTATTTGGTAGAATGATGATATGTGTGTATGTATGTATACGTATATGTATATGACAAATACCAGTATCTCATAAGCTGTTTTATCATGACAAGGGGTAGCATGAGGTCAGCTCTGCCATCTGTTGGACATATTATCTTGTTAAGAAGTAACTTAAACTCTCTAAACTTTTTTTTTTTTTTTTTGAGACGGAGTCTCGCCCTGTTGCCTAGGCTGGAGTGGTGTGATCTCGGCTCACTGCAGCCTCCGTCTCCCAGGTTCAAGCAGTTCTCCCACCTCAGCCTCCCAAGTAGCTGGGATTACATGCATACCACCACACCTGGCTAATTTTTGTATTTTTAGTAGAGACAGTATTTCACCATGTTGGCCAGGCTGGTCTCGAACTCCTGACCTCAGGTGATCCACCCTTCTCGGCCTCCCAAAGTGCTGGGATTACAGGCATGAGCCTGGTCTAAACTCTCTAAACTTGTTCATTTTCATCTGTTAAATGAAGTGGGGTTTAGATGGATGGTCATTGTTTCTGTTCTTTTCAAAGGTCTTGACCTGAACTTAATTATTACCCAGAAAAAGTGATTCTATGAGAGCTTACTCACCGAGACCACATTAACTTCTAGAAGAACTTAAAGAATTTAAATGTGGCATGGCATGATGGCCTGTGCCTGTAATCCTAGCACTTTGTAAGGCCGAGGAGGCAGGAAGATTGCTCAAGCCCGGGAGTTCAAGGTCAGCCTGGGCAACATGGTGAAACCCCATCTTTACTAAAAATACAAAAGTTAGCCAGGCACGGTGGCACACACCTGTAGTCCCTGCTGTAGTCCCAGCTACTTGGGAGGCTGAGGTGGTAGGATGGCCCGAGCCTGGGGAGGTTAAGCCTGCAATGAGTCATGATCGAGTCACTGTATTCCAGCCAGGTGACAGAGTTAGACCCTGTCTCAAAAATAAAGAATATAATCAGAATTTAGATGTACTGCTAGTTAGCAAGATTAGGGAAAAGAAGAATGAGCATTTGTGAGTGCCAAGTACTTTATGTACCTTGTGCCATTTGATCCTTTGAAAGAAACCTCCACAGGTAGGTAGTTTACAGGAAGAAAATGGAGGATTAGAAAGGGTAAGTTATTTGCCCAAGGTATAAATCTTGTTAGACTCTCTCCTAACTCTTGAAGTGGGGTTTAGATGGATGGTCATTGCCTTCTGGGCCCTTCCACACACAGTGATGGCTGAGCAACCACGTGTGCTTTAGCTTTTGTCAGCTGGAGTTTCTTTTCTTCACAGTGTTTCTTCTCTAGCAGTTTGAAAAAAAAAGTTTTGGTTCAGTGTACGTGTTCATCCTAGGGTTTGTGTTTTTTCCCTTTCTCTCTGGGGCAGTATTTCTATTTAAACACCATTGTAGCCATAAAAAAAAAAGAATATTTGGCTTTCTGTTGCCGTGCTTATTTCCTTATTCCGACTTATAAAGTGTGCTATTTGTGTGTACATTGTATTTGAACTAATACAACTGAAAGCAAATGCTTGTTTAATGAAACAGAAAGCAAATGTTTGTTTAACAGAATAAGAAAGAAGTAAAATTCGTTGCAGATATGTTATTTATCACTTTTGTGTATCTGGAGTCCTGTATAGTTCAAAATCAGGGATTTTATTGCCTTGAGTTAAGCAGTAGAAGTAGTAGCAGTAATAAGGTCAGCAGCAAGAGGTAACATTGATTGAGCTGTGATGAAACATTTATTTGTGTGTTACTATGTTTCCAAGTGCTTTACTTGTATTACAGGTCTTCTCAATAACCCTAGGAGGCAAGTAAAATTCTCTCCATTTTATAGATGAGGAAATCATGATACAGAGAGGGTGGGAAACTTGCTCAAGGTCATATAGCTGGGATACATACTCACTGACTTGCCAGTTCTGAATTAATTTGAATGTATTTTATTGATCAGTTCAATACATTATTGAAATGTTTCTCTGTTAATGTGTTATCTCCTTTCCAGGGATTTGGACTTATAGTTTCTAGGGGCATTGATTACAGAATATCTTCAGTGTAAACATAACTAGACCTACTTGTGTATATATGGGACTTGCTTGAATTACTAAATTCCCTCAAGGAACTGAAGCAGTCCTTATTATGTGTTGTTAACAATAATATTTTTTAAATTCAAGCATGAAAATATTATAGATTCATGAAAGTGCTTTAATTTATTCTACAGAGTGTCATTGAAATGGAAAATTTAATATGTTTACATGCTGGCTGGGGAAATATGTTTTGGATTACAGGAGATAAAGGATTTTTTAAGGGCTTGGCAGTTATGCTAATAGGTAAAGCAAACATCTTATTAGCAAGAAGTAATATTGTCTTCTAAAATTGTGCTTTGCAGGAAGAAAGTTTCAGCTAATAGAGACATCATATTTTTTTACGTTTGGAGAAATTTTTATTGGCTAACAAATAGTACCTTGTGTTATGTTTGAATGCCTTTATGTTCAACTCAGTATTTTTCCTCGTTGTTTTTTTTAGTTCTTTACCAAAGGACATGGATGAAAATGAAAGCAACCAGTCCCTGATGACAAGCAGCCAATATCCTAAAGAAGCAGTAAGAAAACGTCAAAATTCAGCACGGAATTCTGGAGGAAGTGATTCTTCTAGGTTTTCTAGGAAAAGCTTCAAACTAGATTATAGACTAGAAGAAGATGTAACTAAATCTAAGAAAGGAAAAGATGGGAGATTTGTGAATCCATGGCCAACATGGAAAAACCCCTCTATTCCAAATGTTCTCAGATGGCTGATAATGGAGAAAAATCACAGCAGTGTTCCAAGTTCTAAAGAGGTAGCACTTGGCTTTTTTGAGTGCTTTATATTTGCTCTTAATATATAACACTCAAGTTAGTTATTTGAGCCGTATATCATATGGCATAGAATTCTGTCTGGGGAGATAAAGTGGTTAGGTATAACCTAGGTCCTAAAGTTCATCATTCAGCAGCAGAGTGCATGTAGGAATAACCAACTCTAATCTGGTGGTAACTAGAGGTAGGAATAGAGTGCTTTAGAGGTACCAGAAAGAAAGTGATGTTGACAGGCAGAGCTAGAGATGGCTTGACACAGCAGGTGGATATTAGATTGCTAAGAAGTATTTTGACGGTGATTTTCCAGGTGGCTGATGGCATGAACAAGGTCAGGAAGGTGAGAAAGTGCATGACATGCTCTGGAAGGTAGTAGCCTGGTACGTGTGTGGAATGGATTATGAGGGCGAAGGCATGAACTAAAGTGCTTGGCTTTTAATCTTTGGACAAGGCTGCCAAAGCTATAAAAGGGAGCTTCAGATGACCCTTCCAGACCTTGAAATTTGACTATAGGTTCCTAGCCTTTAAATATACTAGTTTTACTTAGAATGATTCTGCTTGGCCTTTTCCTGTAGATCACAGTTTTCAGTTAAGTTGATTTCATGGTTTCCTTTGAGCATATCAATATTTTTCATTGGTGAACCAAGTAAGTACTATAGCTCTGTCTCCTCTCCATATATATATACCTCTCCCTTGGCCATGTTAACAACACCTCTTTTCATTTGCTTGACTTTCTTTGTATTTATGGATTATTTCCCTGCCTTTCATGGCTTCTCAATGCCAATTTCCTGAGGGAAGGACCCTGAGGTGGTTCTTGAGCACAGGGCTGTAGTCTGAGCTGATGCCTTCCAGGGCTTCTGCTGGCTTCTGTTCTGGGGCACCTTTCACCAACCTCCTGGGCACCTTTGTGTCTTCTGTGGTGGCCCTTATTTTCTGCATCCCACTTGTTCCTCTCTCTGTGTCATTTTCTCATTTTGGGGGAGCACATTTTCAGTGAACTTCCTGAGAAAGGGTACATGGAGAGTCAGTTGTCTGAAATCTTGCTTGTCTGAAATGTCTTTATTCTCACTCATGATTGACAGTTTGGGTATAGAATTTTTGTTTGCAGTTTTCTCTCAGAATTTGAGAGTATTGCCTCCATAACTTTATTTCTGGTATGACTGTGGAGAAGTTCAGTGGCATTCTTACTCCTGATCCTTTGAACAGGCCCTTTATTTTCTCCCAAGAGACTTTGAGAATCATCTTTGGCACTAGTGTTCTGAAAATTGCCATGATATGTAGTTTTTTTATTCACTGTGCTCTGTGTTTGGTGGGCATTTCCTTCAGTTCTAGGAATTTTCATCTCTATCTTTTAAAATGCCTTTTCCTACATCTTTTGATTCTAAAATGACTATTAGTTGCAGTAGTTGTATTTTGGACCTCCTAGATCAATTCTCTATAATTAAAAAAAAAATTTCTCCTGTTTTTTTTTTTTTTCCTTCTTACAAACAAAGGTTTTATTGTGTTGGTCCACAGTTGTATTTCATATTACCTCATGGAGCAGGGCCCCTGGGGTGGAGGTCCCTGTGCAGTAGTTGGTGGAGCAGGTGGAGCAGTATAGCTGGTCAGGCCCAAAGGGGAGAAGGAGGGCTGGGGGCTCCTTAAAACCTACTGAGAGGCCGAGCGTGGTGGCTCATGGCTGTAATCCCAGCACTTGGGGAGGCCGACGCGGGCGGATCACTTGAGTCCAGGAGTTTGAGACCAGCCTGACACCATGGTGAAACCTTGTTTCTACTAAAAATACGAAAATTAGCCAGGCATGGTGGAGCACCTGCAGCCTCAACTACTTGGGAGACTGAGGCAGGAGAAGCCCTTGAGTCTGGGAGATGGAGGTGCAGTGAGCCAAGATCATGCTACTGCACTCCAGCCTGGGCAACAACAAGTACTAAAAAAAACTACTGAGGCCACAATATGGGGGATTAACATGAAGAGGAGGTCAGGCTTAGCCCCAACAACTCAGAATTCCACTTCCTTGTACAGGCCTCACTTTTCCCACTGGGCCCAGGGCAGGTCTGAGGGTCTGAGGTCTGTTGGTCTTAGGGTCCTAGGGAAATCTAGCCACTCTGGAGCCTAAGATATTTAGCATCATGGCTAAGCCCCATTTTCCATAGCTCTTTTCCCAGCACCCTCTCCACTGTCCCCACCCCATTCCTCGGGGGAAAAAAATGTATTTTTCTTTTGTTAACACTTTGTGAAACTTTTGCGGGTACATAAACCACAAACTGATTGGCTGACAAAAGGATGAAGAGGTGAGGCAACCAGAAACCTTCGGGGACCGCTTCCCTCCAAGCCCAGGCCTCTTCTTCCCAGTACAGCTTGGCCTACATGCCAGCAGGGACCCTCACCCTACACGCATTGGGATACGGCCTTGACCCCTTCTCCATAGCCCATTGGCTCAGTCCTGTGAAGGACTAAGGCAAAGGGGAAAAAGACTCGCTGCCTGATCCCATGCTGCCACTCACAGACCCTCAGTTGATTGGCAGCACTTAACAGGTTAAGAAAAGAGAAAGATGAAAACACAGAAAAACCCAAAAACCCAGATGGGGAAATGATGTAGGGAGAGAATGTTGTTCCGGGAGCCTCAGTAGCTGGCCTCCTCCTGGTAGCAAGGGGGAGATTCAGGTACCTCCCCCTGTCCTGGGCAGTCACTAGCACCCAAGGGAGCCCCATCGGCCACTGTGCGTTGCTAGCAGTACTTAGTGTTGTATATCTGCTGGCCCAGGCCAAAGACCTAACCACCCTGGTGCCCTGCGTGTAGCGCATCTGCAGGGACATGGAATAGTTGTCATACTTGTCAGTTCCTAGCTTGGTGTCATAGATGTGCTGCTGCATCCCAGGAGCCGTCATGCCCACCTGGCTGGCACACTTGTTTGTACCCATCTGGAAGCTGATGGTTGAGTGGTCCATGGGGGGCAGGATGTGGTTCCTGGGGTTATAGAGATGCCTCCTCGTGCTGTATGTGGTCATGTCCGACTGGCTGGCAGTCACATTTGTTGGTGCCCATCTGCAGCCCAGTGGCGCACTGGCTGGCTTTCATGGTGGTGGTGTCAAAGTTCTGCTCCTGCTTCTCCGAGTACTTGATGCCGATGTCCACCCCTTCTGCAGCCCCTTAATCTTGACCTTCCCCACCAGGGCGAGAAGAGACACCTGCACCTGCGTCATGTTCCTACTCTCAAATAGGTCGTTGGCCTCAAACAGGTCCACAGGGTTCATGCCGTAGCTGACCATGACCTTGATGAGGTTGGAGAGGTTTTCTAGCTGGTGTCACTTCTGCATGGAGCAGTTGGTCTTGGGGACTGAGCGCAGCTGTAGCTTGTTCATGAGTGTGCACAAGATAATCCTGTCCTTCAGGCCCTTCTGGAAGTCGGGGCTGATGGAGAGGCCGGTGAGTCTCTCAATCCAGCTGTGGAGCTCTGTCTCCTTCTGGGGGTCATACTTGGACAGGAGCCAGTTCTTGACCTCAGCCGACAGCCATACAAGGGGCTCTTGTTGAACAGCCTGGAGCTCATGGCTGGTAAGCATGGTGGCAGGCGCGGTGGCAGGATAGGACCAGATGGGACTGGACAAGATGGGACCGCTGGGTGGGTGCCGGGCTGGGATGCCTCTTGTGTGTTTTATCTTTTTAAAAATATTACATGGCCAGGTGCAGTGGCTCATGCCTATATTACCCATACTTTAGGAGGCTGAGGCGGGAGGATTGCTTGAGTTGAGGAGTTTGAGACTAGCCTGGGCTACATAGCAAAATGCCCTCGCTCTAGAAAAAAAATGCAAAAAATTAGCCAGGTGCAGTAGAGTGTGCCTGTAATCCCAGCTACTTGGGAAGCTGAGGCAGGAGGATCACCTGAGCCTGTGAGGCAGAGGTTGCATTGAGCCAAGATCGTGCCACTGCACTCCAGCCTGGGTGACAGAGCAAAACCCTGTCTCAAAAAAAAAAAAAAAAAAAATTACATTCCGAGGAGTTGGCTCCGGGGAGGAATGATGCTAGGTGCAGATGGAGTGTGGTTTTTGATGGCACCTTATAGACAGTTGTATCCCAAAAGAGGGATGATAATAACTGCTGAGATCCTAAAGAGCAAGCCCAACTCTAGCCATTGGCATACAGGCATTAAACAGAAAACTGGAAGTTGAAATGATAGAATCTTACTTGTCTAGACCAGCTTTATGGTTTTATTACCGGTAACGTTTTTATTTGTGGATGGCTTGAGTGCAGATTTTTGGAGACCTTCTAAAGGATGGAGAATCGGCTTGACAACAGTGCACATGCGGCAAGTTTTAAAGAAGCAAAGAACTCAAAATTCATGCTTGCAGAAGTTCAGGCAGACCTGATTTCTTAAAGATGTCTAGGGTTTTTAATGACCACAAATAGCAAGCAAGCAAGCAAGCAAGCATGCAGCTTACCCCTTGATAGAATCTCACCCTGTCACCCAAGCTGGAGTACAGTAGCCCTTTGAGGCTCACTACAGCGTCACACTCCTGGGCTCAAGTGATCCTCAGCCACCCAGTGGTTTTTGTAGACAGCCTGATACAGTTTTATGGCAGAGAAGATTAATTAAACAATGTCTTCCAATTTTAATAAATTTCTGCAATCCAAAAAAAAATTTTTTTCATTCTGAAAAATTTCCTCAATAATTTATTTGTTTCATTTTTTAAACCTTGTGTCTCATAGAGTTTTAGTAATGACTGAAAATGTCATGATACACAATTTTTTATAAAACTATAAAGTATGAATACTCTGATCTCAAACATGCCATGCATAAAATAGAACTACAAGTACAGATCATAATGTTAACAGTGGTTATAATCTCTGCATGTTGTTATAGTGTGGCCACTATTTATATTTTTCTGCATTTTCCAGACATTAAGAGCATTATCTCTTATGATCAAGGAGTTTAAAAATATTAAGCCATTTGATACATCTTATACTCTTAATACATATGGCAAAAATGTC